TGACACACTTCCGGTGATGTCAGGGGGTGTGGCATATGCTAATGAGTTATGCTAATGAGTTCCCCTAGCTCTTTTTCTACAAAACGACCCCTGCCTGGAGCTGTCCATGTGCCAAGGGCTGTTAAGTGCATGATGCTTCCCAGAGCTTCAGTGTCTGAAGGGCTGCCAGAAAGCAAGCTGGAACCCAAAACAATTTCTTCTTCTTCTTCTTTCCTTCCTGCAGTGTTGGGCATTCAGCAGAATGGTGCGGCTTAGACGCTGCAGGATATGGATTCTCAAGTGCATGATAGCTAGTAGAACCCCAGTGTTCAAGGGCAGGGTATCTCTGAATACCAGCCACTGGGGGAAAACAAACAGTAGGGGAGGGTTTTTTACTTGTGGGACCATTGAGGTGGCTACTGTGTGAACAAAAAGCCTCAATTGCCCAGTTTGGTCAGATCCAGGAGCCTTGTCTTGCTGCCTTGTGTAATCTGGGAGAACTGAATTTGATTCCCCATTCCTCCACATGCAGCTGCTGGTGTGACCTGGGGTCAGTTACAAGTTCTTTCAGAGCTGTTCTTGAAAAAGCAGTTCTCAAAAGAGCTCTCTCAGTCCCACCTACCTCACAGGGTGCCTGTTGTGAGGAAGGGAAGGGAAAGGAGATTGTAAGCTGCTCTGAGTGAAGGGCGGGGTATAAATCCAATCTCTTCTTCTCTTCTCAATACACACTATATTAGGGTTCCCAGCTCTGGGTTGGGAAATGCCTGGAGATTTGGGGGGTGGACCCTGGGCAGGGTGGGGTTTGGGGGAGTGGAGGGACCTTAGCGGGGTAGAATGCCACAGAGCCCACCCTCCAAAGCATCTGTTTTTCTCCAGGGAACTGATTCCTAAAGTCTGGAGACCCACTGGAATACCAGAAGACCTCCAGGAGCCGCCTGGAGGTTGGTAACTCCATCTGTGACCCACCGCCCTTTCCCCCCACTCCCTTTCTGCTGCAGCTGCTCTTCACCTTCCCGGAGATCATGAAGCACATCCCCGGGCCCCATCGCCAGATCTACAAGAACTACCTGAAGCTGGCAGAGTTTGTGGGCGAGCGGCTGGAGATGAACAGGCAGACGCTGGACCCCAACAACCCGCGGGACTTCATCGACTGCTTCCTCATCAAAATCCAGCAGGTACCCTCCCCTGGACACCCATGACAGGGGCAGCCCCTCCCCGGGGCTTTTGCTCTTCACAGGCAAACTTTGGGAGGGGCTGGGAGAGCCAGAGAGGGAAGGAGGGACCCCTGAGCCCCCCAACCGGCCTCCAGTTCCCAGGATCCTGTGTGTGGGGAAGCCGTGGCAGTCAAATGGGGATAAAACCGGGGGAGGATGTGGCCTGGAGCCAGAGGGGGGGGGGAGGATGTGGCCTGGAGCTGTCCATGTGCCCAGGGCTGTTAAGTGCACGGATGCTTCCCAGAGCTTCAGTGTTTGAAGGACTGCCAGAAAGCAAGCTGGGACCCAAAACAAAGCCTGGTAGCATCTCAGGGAATTGATTGATTGATTGATTGATTGATTGATTGAGGTTTTATCCCCCGCCCTCCCCGCCAAGGCGGGCTCAGGGTGGCTTACATAGAATTTCATATATGCTATTATGCTATTCTTGAGGGGAGATATAAGCAAATTCCTTATTCAATCAGGTTCTGTGGATGTAATAGAAGAGAAATAGAAACTGTTGAGCCCGTACTCTTACACTGTAAATTGTTAAATGACATTCGAGTGGAGTTTATAGAAGCCCCCCTTAGGTTGGTAGCAGGCCAATCAGAAAGAATCAAGGTACAATTTCTCCTTGCTTCACGAGATCTGGAGATCATTGAACTGACCGCTAAGTTTCTCCATGGTTTTATAAAACGGAAGAGTGACCCTGACCATATTAATGATTCTTAATTTATAAGTCTAAAAACTTACGTTTAAAAGTTTAGAATGCCGATTTATTTTATGATTCGGGCATCTTTTGTATGGTCAAATCTAGCTTGTGACAACTTGAGTTAGGCCTGACATAGCCACGACTATCTATTTTATAATTTCTTTTGGATTGTATTATTGGGAAATGCTTCTAATATTGTATGCCAATAAAAGGAATTTGAATTTGAACACAATTAAAACCAAACAGAAATGACGGTCCTCCACCCCAGCCCAGGTTCTA